CCATTGATGCAAACCTTAGTGGTATCAACACCACTAGGGGGTGACGTGGAAACAACTCATTACTATCCATCTTGTGGGGTGGAAGTTAATGGTCAAACCTTGACGTGTGACTTCGTACCGCTGAGCATGATTGAATTCGATGCAATCCTAGGGTTGGATTGGCTAGAAAGGAACCATGCTAGGGTAGATTGATACACGAAGGTTCTTAAACTCGAAGGCAATGATGGGGAGACCCTACGCTTCGAGGGCGATCGAGGGAGATCAAATAGCTGTATCATATCCGCCGTGAGAGCGAGAAGTATGATGAGAAAGGGATGCCACGCATATCTAGCATACGTGGTTGACAAAACCAAAGAGGAAACGAACATCGATGATGTGAGGGTGGTTTGTAAGTATCCGGATGTCTTCCCTAAAGACCTACCGGGGCTTCCACCTGATAGGGAGATTGAATTTGTGATCGAGGTCGAGCCTGGTACCAAACCAATCTCCATACCGCCATACCGTATGGCACCCGCTGAACTTAACGAGTTGAAAACCCAATTGCAAGAGCTTTTGGATAATGGTTTCATTAGATCAAGCCACTCCCCGTGGGGAGCACCAGTTCTTTTTGTGAAAAAGAAAGATGGGACACTTCGAATGTGTATTGACTATCGTCAACTGAACAAGGTCACAATCAAGAATAGGTATCCCTTGCCTAGGATTGACGACTTGTTTGATCAACTACGAGTGGCGACTATGTTTTCAAAGATTGACTTGAGGTCGGGTTACCATCAAACGAAGATTAAGGAAGATGACATACCAAAAAGTGCTTTTCGCACAAGGTATGAGCACTTTGAATTCCTTGTTATGTCGTTTGGGTTAACAAACGCCCCAGCGGCATTCATGGACTTGGTGAATCGAGTATTTCATATATACTTGGACCGATTTGTGATTGTGTTCATATATGACATCTTAATTTACTCAAGGAGTGAAGAAGAACATGAGCGGCACTTGGTCCTGGATCTTGAAACACTACGAGAGAAGCAATTTTGCGCCAAGTTCTCTAAGTGCGAGTTTTGGCTTAAAGAGATTGGCTTTCTTGGGCATGTAGTTTCTGAGTCAGGCATTGCCGTGGATAACAAGAAGATTGGGGCTATCACATAATGGGAAAGGCCTAAGAACGTGAAGGAGATTCGTAGTTTCCTCGGGCTAGCGGGTTACTACAGATAATTCGTGGAGAAGTTTTCAGTTTTAGCATCGCCATTGACGAAGCTCACTCGAAAGGGAGCTAAGTTTATATGGGATGACAAATGTGAGAAAGGATTCATCGAACTGAAGAAGAGATTGACCGAGGCACCGGTACTTGCATTACCCAAACAGGGTGTGGGGTACGATGTCTATAGTGACGCGAGCATCCAAGGGTTTGGGTGTGCGTTGATGCAGGAGGGGAGGGTAACTGCCTATGCTTCACGACAGTTGAAGAAGCATGAGGTAAAATTATCCTACCCATGATCTGGAGCTGGGAGCAGTAGTGTTTGCACTGAAGAATTGGAGACATTATCTCTACGGAGAGACATGTCACATATATACTGATCATAAGAGCTTGAAGTACGTGTTTACTCAAAAATAGTTAAACATGAGACAGAGACGGTGGATGGAGTCGATAAAGGACTACCATCTAGTTATTGAGTACCATCCAGGTAAGGCAAACGTTGTAGCAGTTGCCCTTAGTCGGAAGAGTTCGTCTGGGGCATTGTTGACTAGTTTGAGGGCACTGAGGGCCCAATTGGATGTATCTAGCGACGGTGCCTTATTAGCACGGTTCGAGGTGAGCCGACCTTACTTGATGAGATCAAGAAGGGTCAAGAGACTGACGTAGAACTTATAAAGGCCCGGGAACACATGCAAGCGGGACCGGTGGAGCATTTCAGGGAAAGAGATGATAGTCTCTTGTTATTTCGTGACCTAGTGTGTGTACCGTCAGATGATGAGCTCTGAAAGTCCATCTTAGAGGAGGCTCATTCATCGGCTTATGCCATGCACCCGGGGGGCACGAAAATGTATCGTGATTTGAAAGAAAGTTACTTGTGGTCTAGTATGAAGAGGGAAATAGCTGAATACATTAGTCGATGCCTTACTTGTCAGCAAGTTAAGGCAGAACATCAGCATCCAACAGGCTTGTTACAACCACTTTCCATTCCTGAATGGAAGTGGGAACATGTGACTATGGATTTCGTGGTAGGTTTACCACGAACAATTCGGAACTATGATGCAGTTTGGGTTGTTGTTGATAGGCTCACGAAGAGTGCACACTTCTTGCCTATCAACACTACCTACCCACTTGAGAGGTTAGCCAAATTGTATACGGATGAGATCGTGAGGCTGCATGGGGTCCCAGTGACCATTGTATCCGATAGAGACCCACGATTCACATCACGTTTTGGCCGGAATTCCAGGAGCCTATGGGAACGAGGTTGAAGTTCAGTACTTCTTTCCATCCACAGACGGATGGGCAGTCTGAAAGGGTTATACAGATCTTAGAGGATATGCTGAGGGCTTGTGCGTTAGAGTTCCAAGGAAGTTGGGACAACCACTTAGCACTCGTGGAGTTTGCCTATAACAACAGTTATCAGGCAAGTATCGGCATGCCTCCATATGAAGCATCGTATGAGAGGAGGTGTCGTACACCGTTATGCTGAGACGAGGTTGGCATGGCCAAACTCGAGGGTACTGAGTTGGTTGAGATCACCAAGTCAAGGGTGAAGTTGATTCGAGAGAGACTCAAAGCGGCTCAGGATAGACAAAAGAGTTATGCAAATAAGCGTCGAAGAACCTTAGAGTTTAAGGTTGAGGACGAGGTATTCTTGAAAGTTTCTCCTTGGAAAGGAATCATTCGATTCCAAACCCGAGGAAAGCTTAACCCACGATACATAGGTCCATTCAGAATTATAGAGAGGATTGGGGCCGTTGCATATCGTCTACAGTTGACTTCTGAATTAGAGAAGATACATAATGTGTTTCATGTATCCATGCTTAAGAAGTATGTACATGATCCCTCCCACGTATTGGAAAAGCCGCCTGTAGAGGTACGTGAGGATTTGAACTACGCTGTGCAACCAATCAAGGTCACCGATAGAAAGGTGAAGAAACTGAGGAGCAAAGAAGTCCCAATGGTTAAAGTCCTTTGGAAGAGCGATCGGGTCAAAGAAGAGACATGGGAAACAGAGGCCTTGATGAGGAAGCAGTACGCTTCTCTATTCGAGTAGAGCTGTGAATTTCGGGGACGAAATTCCTGTTAAGGGGGGGTGAACTTGTGACACCGCACCCGAACGTCCTTGAAAATTCAATTTAAATTCAAATATATGTATCGAATTTCCGACTCCAAACAATTGTAAAACGATTAATGTTCTACGTAGTGCATGGTTGAATATCGTACTATTCAAACTCGTACATTAGTGTCGGGTTTTGCAAATACTTATTCGGGACTTGTTAATAAATAAAAAAAACCCAACATTATCTAAATAGTGATACATAATCTTTCAAGACAATTTGAGGAAGGTCGGGCGGCCCAAACATTTTTGGGGCCCAACCTGCTAAAAATAGCAAGTATTCGAGAATGACGTTCTAGACCCACTCGGGAGTGACCCACACGGCTAGTAGCCCAATAATATGTATGACAAATGTCAAATAAGTGATAGAATGATTAAAGAAGAATACAAATGCCTATAACCCCATCTTTGGCATTATTGAGCTAAATAATGGGAGTAGGATTTTCCTGCTATGATATCCATCAAGTAAATTATTGTGATGAACCTACACATATTGGAGATCAATAATGTGATGGAGGAAGTTGACTTGTTCTAAATAAATTAGGATGAGTACAAAAAGACATCTTTGACAAAAGATGAAACTATAGGACCCATCTTCCCATTTTTGGAAGTATTGATATATATTTTGGACCCCAAAATGATTGGGATCAATTGGGAACCACTCCACATGACTTGAGTACCTGCAAGACAAAGAAAAATGGGTGAGATGACTATATGGGGCGAGCATGTTGACTTAAGAGCAATACATTACAAAAAGAAATAAAAGTGGAGGTCCACCTCACATTTGATTGCAAACCAATGTCTCCCATGCTCTTTTGTGAGCCACATGCTCTCTTAGCATGTTTAAGGCATCCTTTACACTCCCCCCTACACCCCATTCGAAATCCCCAAGATAAGAGAGAAGGAGAGAGCCACATAACCAAGATAAGCCAAAGAGAGAGCAAGCTGTCCGCAGGTTCGTTCTTCAGTGCGTAGCTCTGATTGTTTGAGCCATAACTCGAGATTCACTCGTCCAATTAAGGCGTATAAGATACCAAAAGAAAGCTCTCAAGACGAGGAATCCGTGGATGTCTGGTTTGCATCAATCGGAGTAGTGGAAGACTTCCAAACCGTCCGAGCAAAACACAACCTCGCAGAATACGTTTTTGTATTCAAAGTAAGTTTGAATCCAAAACCTTCCTCTCTATTGTCTAAATCGTATAAATGATTGAAGAACTATTATACACTGATTGAAGTGTATAAAATGTTATTATAAAGTGACTTAAATTGTTGGAAAGGTTAGATACTAACCTAGACAAAACCTTGAAAGGTTAGGGAACGAATTCGTCGGGAAACACCCGTTCTAGGGACTGTTTTTGCGTCTTCGGTTAGGAGTTGAACTAGCACTTTGAGGGGGCTGTTTAACACTCAATTCCAAGCAAGGAATCAGTTCTAAAACCTTCTTGGCCGAGGCTTTGGTCGTTGGAGCGAGAAGGAAGGTTTTAAAGCTCATTTGAGGTGAGGACCGACATCTAGTTGCTTACAACTTGTAGGTTATGCATGAGATTACCTAAATGCTTGAATCATGTTTTTGTGAATAAATATGCTTGAACATTATATGAATGATAAGTAATGGACTTGACCATGAATTGAAACCATATTGATGAATATGGAGTCATGTGAGATAAAAGTATGCTAATATGGTAAATTGACCTTCCAACTCACGTATGAATGTTATGTGTATGTAAATGTATAATTTCATGATGATGCTTAGCACATGGGAGGCTGCCACATATCTATTGATATGGAGGGGCTACCATTTATGATAAATGAGTTGTAGGAATAATCTTAATAGTATTGTGATGCTAGTTAAGGATTGTTCAAAATGTTGATAGAATCAAACTTAAGGTTTGAGTTGTTTGTGATGAACTTGAATAAGATTCAAGTGTCAAGTGTGATTGTATGAAGTAGGAGATCTATGGTGTGATTATATGAAGTAGGAGATCTATGGTGTGATTATATGAAGTAGGAGATCTATGGTGTGATTATATGAAGTAGGAGATCTATGGTGGGATTGTATGAAGTAGGAGATCTATGGGGTGAATACATGAAGTAGGAGATCTATGGTATGATTATATGAAGTAGGAGATCTATGATGCGAGTGCATGATGATGTACTCGAGCCTAACTCTAGAAATGAGAAGTTATATTAGGGTTGGACCCTATGTATTGTCGTGACTATTAGTCACGGGGTTTGGGAAATGTTTTATAACAAACACGGGCCTTTGAGCCGACTACTTGACTTTATATAAAGTAAGTATGTATTTTGAAAGGGGTAATCTGGGATTACGGCCTATACTATATTATCACCCTATTTGAGGGTCTTGTGTGTGAAATACTTGTTGTATATCTATTAGATGCCTGCCACACCAGCACTTTATAGCCCTATAGAGTGCTGACCCCTTCGGGGGCGTCCCACCACCATTTTTCAGGTTGAGGCTAGAGCTTGCTTCCTGTGCTCGTTGCTCGAGAGATCATATAGGAGGGAAGACTTGGTTCGTGCTTCCTCCATTCTGTTTTTAAACCTTTCTAAACATGCTCATGGATATTTTACTATGGAGCCTGCGTGCTCATGAAATGCCTTGTGTGGCCCTTTTGTTTTAAACAATGTTTCCGCTGCGTTATGAATTACTTATTATGTTTGTTTATGGATGTATATGTGTGAATGATATTCAAGACGCCTTGTATAATATGAATGTGTTGGACTGCGGTTGACTATTCGTATTGTACGGCGGGTTGTTGACGTGTCCGGATAGGTCCGGGGCGTGACACATCCCCCACTCTATAAATAGGAAGTTTGGTTTCCTTTGTAAGGGATCTGATTTTGGAGCTCTCTTCTGCTTCTCTCCTCCCTCCCTGCATTATTTCTTCTTCTTCCTTAGAAATAGCTCAAGCTCCATTAATGGAGTTATACTTTTGTATTATGTAAATGAGTGATGGGAGGATATTAATGAGAAAGAGCGGGCTTGGACGTTAGCCTAAAAAGTCCCGTGGTTTTCTCCCTTTCCGGGTTTCCACGTAAAAATAGCTATTCCATACACTTTTATATTTATATTCACTTTTATACCGATGTATCGTTCTCAATAGCCGGAAGCCCAACATAAACTTCGGATATGGGTGGGTACAAAAGTGGGTACAAACATCATTTTCCAATTGAGAATGACGGAGAGTAATCATGAAGGTTAAATGGGTCATTGCATCTTTATTTACTACCTAAAATGAAAAGTGATTAAGTATTTTGGGACGGCCAAATAAGGAAAGATGGCTAAATAAATAGGAAGGGAGAGAGTAGTATTTAGAATCGGACCTGCTAATCTAGATGAAACATTAATAACATACTAGATACTAGCTTAGGGCATCCTCATTGTTTAGATTTTTAGAGTTTAATTGGATGATGTGTAAGATTATTTTAAAGATTATCATTGTGAATGAGAGATTATTTTGAGAGATTGTTGAAAAAGATAATCCGGTATCAAAATTTGAATCCCGGATTATTTTGGGTTGTAGTTAAATTTCATTTAATGAATGGTCTAGAAAAACTGATTATTTGAATATCATGGTTGATGGAGAATCTTAAGATTTCAGATTATTTAAAATTTATTTAATAAATGTGATGTGGCAATGATGTGTCATAAAAAACCATTTATTTTAAGATCATGAATGAAGATGCTCTTATAAGGGTGAACAAAAAAACGAAAAATTGAAACGATCAAAACCGAACCAATCAAAACTGAAGCAGTCAAAACCAATCGAATAAAACTGAAATCGACCAAACAGAATTATCCGTCAGTGATTTGGTTTATATTTTTAGGTAAAAAACGGTCAAACCAAAATTGGCAGACAAAACCCGGTCTAAACAAGCTAAAATCGATCAAAACAGATTCAAACAGATTGAAATGACTCAATCTTTCTGGTCTGATTCTCAATTTCACTTGTTAGAAATCACTAAAGCTGGTCAATTAAAACCTAAACCGACCAAAAGAGAATCAATTGCTTCAACATTACTACTCGCTTTCCCAATCTAAATTGAAAGTCACCTTTTGGAATAACTGAATCATAGTCAACTTTGACAAAGGCCAAATCCCAATTATTCTTCCATTCTTTCCGGCTGTTAGTTTATTCAATCGGGGAGCTCTTCGGTGCATTCTCGTTTCAGAATGTTTTGGTACATTCTACAAGTGGCAAATTATAACTGGAAGACATTCCACGTAAGAATTTTGTTTAGAATTTCAAAAATTTGCAAAGTGAACCCAGAAGAACAAAAAATGTATATACGTCTTTTTTCACATTTTGGATGCTCGCATTTTTTCCTTCAAGAAATCCAATCGTCGTCTCCTTCATCTGATTTATATCTTCATCTTCACTTCTAACAGGAGTAACAACAATTGCCATAGAAATCCGATCGAGAATCTGGCCAGATTAAAAATCTGATTAAGATATAATTTATGAGCGTCTCCTCCTTCCTCGAGTAGCTGTCAGGCCTGTCACCCAAATCGATCCAAATCCACACCCCTCTCTGCCGCAACTCGTCTGTCACCACATCTCGTCCGTCGCAGCCGCCGCCGTCAATCGTTCGACATCTTGCTGTTTCTCACTAGAAGTCTGCGCCGCCACCGCTCGTTTGACATCTGCCTCCACGTCTTGGTCGAATGGTCGAAGCCTGCTGCCTCTGTTCATTCATCGTCCGCTGTAGGAGGCCGGTGCCAGCTCTCTTCATCTCCACCTTAGCTTCTCTCAAGGTTAGTATCTATTAATCATTTTAGTAAATTGTGTGTTAGTATGGTGCATTTTAATTTGAGAGGAATATTGATATTTGGTATTGATATTATTAGTGTTATTCATTGTTATCTGAAGATGATAATTACATGAATTTGGCCTACATACACTAGTTTATGGATCCTATTCTTATTAAGTTGTGTAAAATACATAAAATTTTGGCCTATATACACATAAAAATATGACTGTATTACTGTAAGTAATTCATGACTGTCTTATCTATTAACTTATAAAAAGATGATAATTTCAATTGTACAATTGTATGCATATTCAACTTTGGTGATGTGTAACTTATTTTTTTTTATTGAGGCTGGTGTTCAATTAGGCCAAAAGCTCTAGGCAGTTGACTCGGACAGGTTCAATAAGGGATTAGAGGGTTACTCGGAATGAGTAAAACACATCGGAAGATTTCTAAATGGGTTTAGTCATTTCAACACTGTGATGATCTATATGGCTTTGAAATGTAGTTAACAATTCTTGTTACTGTGCCTTATGAAATAAAGATACGCAACTATATGAAAGATTGATGGAAAATATCTCTGAACAAGGAACTGAAATTTTCCTTTTATTCAAAGATAGAGATAAATATGAATGTTTTTGTACACTTTCAGCGGAAAAGATTATGCCGAAATTGTAATTCATTTATTTAAGTACAGGGATCAAGCACATTCAAGCAAATAATCCAAATAATCTATGAAATGTTGAGTATATTTTAGGAACACAAGTGATCATTCATAAGTTGTAAAACTTTAGATCTTGATTGGGTCGACTAGGACTTGAAAAGTTGAAATGTTTTTTATTATTCTTATCACTCAAATGTGACTTTTGTCTAGATAACATATGAAGTATTTGTTCAATATGCATCGTAGCTTCAGACTAATCCAGGAGCTGTTGTTCAAGAAGGTGATTAAGAGGGAAACGTTTGGTGTGGTCTTGAACATGCAAGTTTACCTATCATTCATTGCGAATTGCTGCTATGTGGTTGGACTTTTTGGTAGCGGGGAATGGATGAGTTTAAAGGGGGAGATGAATGGTTTTGGGAAGGGGAAGGTGTCATATGTTATGACACTGGTTTGAACAGCTTTGTCATGGCAAATATGTTCTGTTGGTTTTTTGGGATTAGTGTTTGAGATTTCTTCTTTGTTTTCCAACGTCATTAGTACAATTGGTTTGCCTTTTCTTCCTAATCTGGCTGTTGTATTGTTTGGTGACAAAATGGATGGAGTTAAGTTCATTGCTTTGCTCCTTGTGCTATGGGGATTCCTCTCTTACCTTTATCAGCACCACCTTGATGATTCCAAACCACCTTCTGTAGTATAGAGAGAAAGAATGACCAAACTATTATTTATTTTTTATACTAAATGGTAGCTATGTATTTACACCATCTTTCCCGATTATTCTTTCTATTTTCATTATTCTCAATTTCAATATACTTCTCCTCTTCTCAATTTCAAGATAACGAATTTAGAGTTGAAGAGCGCCGTATTGCAAAAGGGGGGCCAAGGGCAGTGATTCACGACTCTCTTCGGCAGACAAAAGCCACAAGAAATTGAAAAAGGACAACTTCCCAGTAAGGCATCTCAGCAACGATAAATAGAAAGAAGGTGAGATTCAACCGTTAGATCGGCTTGTCATGGCATCAACAAATTCCTTTCCTTCTTCATCTATTCATTTTCGTCATGAATCTTCATCTGTATATATTAGTTGCTGACTTGCTGGAAAAAATCATATTAGTTTTTTTCGAGTTCATTCTCTTCGGTTTCATGAATTACACTAGTTTTTCCCTAAGTTTAATATTATGAACTTATACCAGATACATGGGTGCATGCATCTGAATTTTTTTATTTTGCGCTTAAATTGATACAACTTAGTTAAGCCATGAATTTATTTCAATTACAAATTTTGATATTTTTTTTTATTTGAAGATTTCAGCAAGAATTTTTAGGTTGCTTCCGCTCCGCATTTCTCCTCAGCCATGGAAAACGTTGCTTTCCTGCGTCCTGTGGTGCATGTTTGAAACAGAAAAGGTAATTTTGTTTGCATGCTTTACTTATAAATCATTAATGTAGCTAGAGCTGAACAAATCCTCTAACCATAAATAAGAGAGTAAGAGTTGACTGGAGTGGACATTGACTTACTGAATGAGGAGAAATGAAATAGACCTATTTAATTCAAGTCATTTAAAAAATACGGAGTAAAACATATCGGGTTTTCTTTTATGAAGCTATAGATTTTTTGTTCATCTATATTAACTCGCTGCTAGACTTTGGCTCTTCATTTCTTATCATTTCTTCTAAACTCGGAGTTTTTATCATGATTCGCGTCTGGTGTTGTCTGAAAGAAGGATGTTTATAGTAAAAGTGTAAGAAGGATGTATTCCCAAAATGTATCAGACTAATGTGGCACTTTATTAGACAACTTTTTCTGTGTTCTATTTCTGAAGTATCTTATTTATTAATTTTCCAATTAACCTCATTTTGTTTTCTATTTGAGGTTGAGCATGTATAGGGAAATCTACACTTTTTATTCAATAAATAGGTGGGGTGTTTCCTGCCACTCACCCCAAAACCCTCGGGTTTTGGATTACAAACCGGGTCAAAAAAATGTATTGGAAAATCTATACATTCTTTAATAACAAACATATTTGAAATAACTATTTGTTCCAAAAGTGGGATGTCTTTCTCATTACAAACTGCAAAACCTATAATAACAAGCATGTTGCCCGTGTTTCCTGGTTCTATGTGAAAGAAAAGAAAGAAGTTTGTAAAGTGACTAAAGAACATAGCCCACCATAGTGTCAGTAGAATATGGCAGTCATGTCAGTGAAAAAAATTAAGCTTTGGCAACCTCCAACTTGATCAAACATAGCATTTAATAGAAAGAAAGTTATACTATCAAATTAGATGCAACATAGCCCGATGGCACACAAATTAAGAAAGAGTCATAAACTAATTTTTTCCTATTTTACCCTTCTCCTTGTCACGTGTACTCCTTCTGCACCTACAGATTCCTTTTACTTTCTCTGTAATTTGCTTAAATCCACCATTGGAGTCCCCAAAAATAAAGAAGAAATTGGAAGAAAGGAATCTCCAGCACAAAAGTGAGCTTCAAACACCTTGAAGATCTATGAAACGCATAGAGCGGTAAGGATAATGCGTAACCAATGAAGCGTCCGGCTAGATGGAGTTGGCCTCGGTTGTCGGCGCGGTTGGG